TACATCGTTTAGTAATTGGCTGATAAGAAAATCCGAAGGTTCATCAGTCCATTTATCATCACTCTTATTACAAAAACTGAATTTAGCTAGCTCATGAGCTACCGAATTAGCATCACGATAACAACGTAAAAAGATGACCTTCCCTATTGAAGTTTTTGTATCAATGCATTTTGCAAATATTGCAGCTGCTGCATCCCACCATTGATTTTGCCCTTGACAATAATTCATCATACTCAAAGAATCAGATTCCGCTTCAATTCTATTAAATCCCAAACTGTTTGCCAAGTTTAAACCATCTCGCATTGCCCTGGCCTCAACTACCGATACATCAGCTGCCACCGGAATGAATCTATATTGAGCAGCAATAAAACGGCCTTTATCGTCCCGTAGGACAACACCTATCGCCCCGGATCCCTCCTCTGCATGGTAGGAAGCATCTACGTTTAATTTAGTAAGTTTCAGTTCCGGGGTCTTCCATTTATGCTCGAGCATATCCTTGTTCCGACCGAGACTTCATAAAATTTAGCAATCGTGTCTTGGTCCTTTTCGATGGACTAGTTCAGTTCTGGCAATTGTTGCAAATTTTATGAAGGTCTTCATAAAATTTGCAACAATTGCCAGAACTGAACTAGTCCATCGAAAAGGAGGAAGACAAGACTCATGATGTGTATGTTGCCGTCGCAACCACCACAGATACCAACATCCGGCCGCCAGTACCTCCTTGTAGTTCAAACTTGGCATAATATGCAAAGATGAATCTGGTTCTAGAAATAAGAACTCCAGGATTGCTGATCCTGACCGATCCACTTGTATTGCTTGATTGATGCGCTCGAGGAGTCCTAACCCCGGCCATAGCTTTTTTGCCATCTCACACTGAAACAACATATGTCATCACGCATATGGTTTCATGTCATCACGCATATGGGGGGTGCTAACAACGCTATCTTACGATCTCTGGGTAGAAAGTGTGCAGCATGCCAAAATTAGCTCCATCACGCAACGAATTACCAGACCATCTATGACGGTGGCCTCATCCGTGTCGACGAGTTTCGTATCTGCGATTGGCGTGGGTACATAGTTGGAGGCGGCCCACCACACAACCCAGGAAAAAAAATCATTTCTTGAGGTAGACTGTTTGACGACGGCGTACAAAGAAACAGAAAACAAATCGCTAGCTCCGAACAACCGTCAATGATCTGATCCGTGAATACTAATTAAAAAATTCACCAACCCACCAGAGTTCAAATCCCGGTACTCGCATTATTCCTGGATTTATTTCAGGATTTTCGGCGATGCACTTTCAGTGGGAGGAGACGTTCTCGTCGACGACGAGGCACCTACGGTGACTTCGTAAATCTCAAGATGATATGCCGGCTCAGTCTTTCGGAGGTGCTCATAGGGGTAGGGTATGCGTGTATGCGTTCATAGGGATAAGTGTATGCACGTATATATGAGCGTTTGTGTTTATACTGATGCTCAAAAAATGATCTGATCCATGAATACTAATTAATAAATTTGTTATATTATGTTTTGAGGGAGGCTGCTAACGAAGCTGTCGACTCCTCCTGTATATAAAAATGTCCAGCATTTCAAATTGTCAATTGACTCGATCGGCACGTAAGGCCTTGTACAATGAGAGGTGCTTAGGAAAGGTGCTTAGAGAAATAAACCAGATTTTTTATAAGCACCGGTGCTTATTTGTACAGGATAGACGCTTAACTAAGCGTCTCTCCTGTAGAAATAGGCACTGATGTTTCAAAAAAACCCAGTTTATTTTTCTAAGCATCTCTCTAAGCACCTCCCATTGTACAAGGCCTAAGAGACCTTAGCTGGGCAACGACTTTTGTACTGAACCATGTCATCACGAGGCGCTGCTCGCCGGCCACTACAGTGCCTCCTGGACTGTCACCAAGATTTTCTACTCTGAGCAACGGACAAACCTGGAGGCATCGCATTGTATGCCTTAGAGCATC